CTGTCTCTCTCTCTCTCTCTCTCTCTCTCTCTCTCTCTCTCTCTCTCGCTATTGTATCAACCGTAAGAATAAATCTCTCTTCGAGGTACAGATTGATCACGTGTACCAATCGCTTTCAAGTTATTTCATCGTATTCGTACGGCAAGTAAAATTAAATAAATTTCACGAATTATGAAAATGGTAAAACGAGCAATTATGTTTGTTTTTCCATCGTAATGTGAAAGTGAATTCCGAACTGCAAAGATCGATCTCGCAAAGAACTGAATCATTATAGATATGCCGTTTAAAAATAACAACATGTGACTGATAAGTGTCTATTGACGTAAAACACAATTCCTGAAAAGTAAAGTTATCTGTTATATAGATGTAATGTAACATTCGATATATTGTCGATGATCTGTCAATCAGCCGTTCGGTATCCGACGTCATCAACGGACGCACGTTAATCACGATAGTCTACTCACTGATACTTTTTAAATGTAGCAGCCGTACCGTGTGGACTTCTCTCAGTATTACGTTGGCGGCTGACCACGGCGCATGGCCTGCGAATTCACTTCGGAGTCGGATTCGGTCGAGCTGCAAAACGAAACGTACGGAGCGCTGTGTGAATGAACTCGTGAACGTCGTACGGTGATTGACTGACGACCATAGATTTTCCACGACGTTTCATCCTCCATCTCAATCGGGAAACTGATCGAATTCACTTGGCCGGAAAACGTGGGATCCCTTCGTAATTTTACGTCGACAGACAGCCAATCGCGAGGCCGGCATCTGTGTGCCGATAAGTGCTGCTGAATCATCCGAAATTTATCATCGACTTGACAAAATAATATAACGCTATACGAAATAATGTTCACGTAACAATAGTATTATCAGACCGAGTGAAAGGACGCGCGTACCGACCTTGGCAGACAACGGCCTACGATATCCAAAATGTGGATAACACAGATATTCCATCTAATACCATCAAATACGTGACATTACAGGTAACGTAATCTTTCAACAAAAACGAATTCTATACTATAAATTAATAGAAATTTTCTAATGTTCCAATCTCCAATCATAGGCCTTTTGAAAGATTCAATATTATATATTTAAGAATTAATAATAAACTAATCTAAATAAGTAATAACTTGTGAAAAAATTGCACTCGAGTTTAAAAATTTTTCGACATAAAATTACCGTGTAAGAAACATAAGATAAAAATTTGTAATTTTACACTTGTGGAAAGACTTTCCACTACAATATTAGGCGAACATTTCGCTAAAACGTAAACGTTAGATATGACAGCGGAAATAATGGAAATTGAACTTATTCCTCCTTTAAACTATCTGGACCATCTTTTTCAAATTGATCCGTTGAACAAGTTTTGTAACAGGATTTTTAATAATAATATTGTTCCACTGAGTAGCTATATAATATAAGTACATATCTTAAAATTGTATAATAATTCTGGCAATATGTTATTAATTTAATTATGCTCTTCATCCTTTTTATAAATTATTTTTTACGACAAAAAGAATAAGAAGAATATTCGCTTCTTCTTCTGATAAATAATGGGTAAAAGTCTTCTGTTGACAAATTCTAAATATAAATTTGCAAACTATTATTGACTGTTCAAAATATTAAATTCAAAATTGTTATTCGACAATCGTACTGACAATTTTAAGATATGTACTTATTTCTGTCTAGTAACGTTACCAGATTAGCAGCAGTTAGCAATTTCTTACGCAACGATGTTTGCCGTAAGAATGAACAATACGTAATGCACTGCGATTATTTTGCAATATTTTTTATGCAAACTCAGGGTCATGACAGTCAGTAGTATTAATATTATGTTACTAAAAAGTTTATGTTACCAACAAATTCACATTATACATTTTATCTGATAATTTCAATATTAATGAGTGGAAAATAGTTTTAAATAGACAAAAATTTTAAAGATATCACGCAATGATGAAACGGCGAAATTTCGGTCGAGACATATGTCATATTTTAACATATTTTATAGATATATATTTAAAGACTGTTATGCTATACTATTCACTATTTTTTTTTTCATTGTTGAATAAATGTGTACAAGACTTTAATCGCAATTATATTTATTCTTGCTATAGTATCAATACCATTGCATCTTATAATTCACTAGCTGAGAATCAAAATGTATGAGTTTGATTATAATTGCAAATCGGTTCGATCGCTGGATATGAATTCATTCAAGGAAACGCTCGGATATTACCCATTTAGCATCAGAAACGCGATCGGACTACAGCTGTATTTGAAAACGTTGTGATTATTCGTATCACGATCGTGCATTTTTATCGAGGGTACCCGAGCAGCATCAAGCCAGTTAGAGCAGTGTGTTCAATGTCCATTGATCTAACTGCTAGACATCACAATAAGAAGAACTTACATAATTCTTTGTGAAACTAATATAAAAACATCATTAAAGAATAGAAAAAAAAAAAAGAGTAATCTTCTGTTGTGAAGCAATTTTTATAAATCGACACGTACTTGCATAGCACTAGCTTGTAATATTCTTCATATTACACGTACAACGGGCAATATCGTGATATTCCGCCAATTCGGTAAATTGGCTTGAAAAAGTTTAAAAAGGTCCACCATCGATCGTTAAATAAACTTATTTATAGATGAAAGAGATCCTTGATATAAATTCATCTGTAAATATCATATTTGTCAAGCAAAAAAAAACGTACAAGGATTTCTCAAAGATTATGCTATTGTGCAACATACGGAACAAAAGTCGACCTTTGGTAAATGTATCGACCTTGCTTGTAAGTACTATAATTCAATCGTGTTTCACGCCGCTCAAGATAGATAGATTACTCGCTCGCGTATTGCGAGAGTTTGAGACTAGATGATAAAAATAGTCGGTGCTGCCAGCAAGGTCCACAAGGTTGAAATGAAGACTTAAGACTCTGCGTGCTCGCATACATGCAGGCGGCAAACTGTCTTTTAATAACCGCGTTCGTCTCTAGCTCCGTTTTTTTTCCTGGACGCAGCTGCACATGTCGGACCGTCAGAATTCGTGGGAGTAGAAGAGAGAAGGAAAGAAGGACTAGCCGGACTAGCGTCTCTTCTCGCAAAACTTTCCGCAATAATCCGGTGCAAAAAAGCAGCCAGCATCTGACGCTGTCAAAAAGTCCCTAATGCGAATTGGGAGGACCTTGTGATACGGCAGACGCGGCGACCCGTGCCGCCACCGCGTGCTCGGGTTTTTTTGCCGACGAGCAACGGGAGAACGTTTCCTCTATCGTCATCAGCGACTATCGCCACGAGCGACACGGAGAACGGTCCAGGTCATGGCAGCTGGATTTGCATTGTAAAGTTTCCCGTCTCTCGCGCGTCCTACGTGCGCAATTTCGCTCAATTGCGCCGTCGCTGCTGCCAGCTCTTCGGAACGGGTAAAGCTAGTTACAAAAGCTCCTTCGCTTCTTCCCTCTCACCCTCTTCCATCGTCTTCCGCGATCTGATAAAGGTTCATGCATTCCACTCCCAGAGGGCCCGCTGCATCCCCGTTCAGTGAAACGCGTGCAAGAGTCTCGGTAACGAAGAAGCGTCAACGTCAACGTCAGTTACTTAAGAAGACATTCGGACACTTTATTTTTAGCTACGGATTCTTCGATAAACGTGGAATCAATTTCTCATTGATAAAAGTTTAATACTCTCTTTGAGTCTTCTCTTATCTCTTTCCTTAGATCTTTAAGTTGTTTTTTTCAATTAAATCTTAATTAAATTCCAAATTAAAATTCTCTCAAGATAAGATTCATATAAAGTTAGAAGCCAAAGATAAAAAGCAAAAGATATATTTATGAAAAAATGCCGATTGTATATTGATAACGGAATCTGTAACTAAAACAAGATGTAATCTTGTAATCTTACAATATATGCAAGCGCGACAAATTACACTTTATCTTGCATCAACATGCAAGAATCAAAGGAATTTGGACGACAAGATCTTGCACAAACTTACATGTTAATTTTGAATGTCTCCATTTAAATAACGATCGATATTATCAAGTGGAAGTAACGCTAACTTAGAATCGTCTCTCGATAATATCACGAGTAAGATGGACGGTACAAATAAGAAAGTCTTTTACCGGATAAAAATTTTGAGTTTGTCGCATCGGTAGCTATCTATAAGTCTATATCTATAATATTGACTTTTAATTCAGTATACTATATGTAATAACTTTTCAATAAGCCATATTGACTTAATAATAATATAAGGAAATAAAATAATTTGCACTCCGTTTTTCATAAAAATTAAAAAATCAAAAACCCTACACTCAGTTTTCAGATAGTCGTCTATCGTTTCGCGATAAAATATGCTTTTACGACATCATACAATTAAAAATTTAATAAACTTCAAAAATCTTCTTAGATAAGTAAATCTTGTTAGATAACTATATATATATATATATATTATCATCGCGCATTTAACACCAAAGATATGGCTGATTCTCACCTTTTTACATAACACACACATTTGAAAATGTATTTTTCTTTTAGCTAATAAAATTAATAATACAATTCCATTATGTTAAATATGAATAGAGATTAATATTATATTATTTTGAAATAGAAACTAATAAATATGGAAACAATATACACGTCTGTTAATTATCCACTGATTGTTCATTAATCGTCTATTACAATATGCAAGACTGACGTATGCGATAATTAATGCTTCCATTGAAATAATTGAAACTTTGTGTAGTAAACAGTTTTATCTTATTTCACGCGATTAGCTATCTTTCATGAAATTATCGACGAATATAGACGGGAAGGAAGAACTATAGCGATTAGATTAATTGTCTCATGCTTGACGAAACATACATCGCGCAACATGATGACACAATGTGACACACGCAATATGCACGAATGCGTATTTATAGCTAATTTGTGCAAATCGGTAATTAAAGAAGATTATATTTATGTTGGGCACAAGAGCAACTACGTTTGAATTGTAAAAAATTGCATCCATCGTATCAGGTAGTGCTAAACTGCATCATGGAATTCTATATAATATTTTGAATATTAAAATCATTTTGTTTGTCTCGCTTTGATTTTAAATGAATATTGAATGCATTTTATTAATAAAAAAAAATCAAATTAATGATAAAAATTTGATATTGGTTGTGGAATTATTTGCAAAAATCTATAAAAGAGTATTAATAAAATACAAAATTCTTTTATCTTTAAATTTCTGCAATTTGACTTTCAATGCCAAATACTAAAAATAATATTGATTATGGTATTTCTGAAAACTCACAAAAAAATTTTAGGTATGGTAAATTCATTTGAAAGAGACAAACGAATAAAATAAAATAATGTAGCAAACGCTGTCAAACTTTATTTAATTTTTCATTAACGCCATCATCTTATCATGCAGATCGTAAAAAAACAAAAGTTCTTTATACGAGCTAAAAGAGAGAAGCTAGAGTTTTCCAACGTGCTGATTTGCGAGCTAGTTCGTTGATCGGAACGGTAGCGTTAGAAACTTTGTTAATTCCGAAACTTTGTAATTAATCCACTGACAGGCTATCCTTACGCTATTAGTGTGAAAAATATATTAAAATACGTTGGCGGATATTCTAACGGATATGAATTGACAATCAAGACGGTCACAACAGGCAGATAATAAATTTACAAATCAGGCAACAATAAAGTTTGAGATTATGCGGAAATTGACGGTGAACGACTCGTACGCTTACATTTGACAGCTCCAAACGTGTTGCAATTAATTAACAAATCTTACTGTGTGTGACACGTGTAATCACATTAATATATATTACCTCATTCGCATACGGTGAGATATTTGTGCGTTTAACAAGTAACTCCGTCGAGTGAGTACATTATTTGGAACTGTGTGCTGTAATGATGGAGTAACGTAAACCCAACATGGAGATGAGTCAAGTGGACAAATTACTCGCTGCGAGGTACCTGTCGCGCACAAAATATCTGCCCATCTAAAATTAACGACGACGAAGTGGCGTTGCGAGCCAAAACCGAATAGATAGGTCTTCATTTACGCAATGAACAGAAAGGTCTTCTATTTTCGGACACATATGAATTCTTCTACTACGCCATATCTCAAATGTCAGTACAATTTCATTCCGCTTTTCTACATTCCTGCCCCCCTTCTCGTGAAAGAAAAATTACCGCTTTGCCGCTTTTACCGGCTATATTTTACAATGAAAATAAACAATCAAAAAATTTAATAAGCGAATTGAAAAATTCAGGATGTTAATATAAAATATTTGTTGAAGCTACCGTTATGCAAATGCGAAATATTTTTATAAATATCGTCTTCCTTCCTAAGGAAAGATTACGATTTTGAAAAAAGATTTTTATATTTTAGGCAATCTCCAGTTTCGAGGAAGTATAACAATATAGAAATTTATGAGAATTAGTACAACAGATGTTGCTGCAAAAGCTATATACAAATATTCCAATCTTATTGCGAACTGCAAAAATATTGCAATATCCATACAGCCTATAGGAAGTCATGCGGTTTACGAGATATTTCAAGGGGTACGACGGCGCGCAAAATTCACCGACGAATTCTGTAACAGCTAGCTCTTTTTGTCATGAAATCAATCAGTGCAGTGTGCAGACCGATGGAGCGTGCACGTCAGCGAACCGAAAATCGGCGATCGATTCTTCGGTTCGGACGAAATATAAATCGTCAGGCAGTCCTGCCGAATAGAGGACTGCCTAACACTTCGTGTTAGCTGAAAGGCAGAATACTGGCAGAATACTTCTCCCGTGTTCCGTTATTCAACGATATATACAATATGTTTCGTGCCGTAGAGTACGGATACTATCTGCGACCGATTGACTTTCATGAACACGTCAATCACGACGTGTGACTCATGTAATATCGCCGCGCGAGATGCGACGGCAATAAAAATATCCGTGAGAAATCTGTGGTGTTATCGTACTTAATTGTGCACCGTTCTGAGAAATTCTCTCAACACCGATCGCTACATACGCTAATCAATAGGCCGCGATATATTACCGGTCGGAGTTAAATAAGAAAAGATTTACATAACGCAGGCTATAAACACTTACACTTTGTACTTTGCGACAATTTATCCGCTTATCCTCGGACAATCTCCGCAAAGACGTAGCTTGGAAAAACCAGCGCGCGACGCTTCACGGAAATACGTATATAACGTAAATGTTGTAGAAAACATCCTGTTCTCTATTATTTTAATTATTATATTCCTGTGACAAAGGTAAATAAATTATTCTACTAATAAAAGTGTTACGCTGTTAGTTAAATATTCTTGAATTTTCTTCCCGCTAAATTAAAAATAACAACAATACTTACGTCAACTCATTAGTACAGTTCTCATCAGTACAGTGTAATAAATATGTTTACAAGATATATTATAATTACAAGATGTTTATTTCTTTCATTTTACTTGTTTGTTTATTTATTGTATTATAATATTAGAATAATTAATCCCGTTAAAATTATTATATTTAATAATATAATTTATCGGTTCAAAATTAATATCGCAATTAGAAATTATCTAATAATCATAATGTATAATATATAATGCGATTAAATATATATATATATATATATATATATATATTATATAATAGTTTTTTATGCAAATAATTATAATGATAAACTTGTTTATTTTCTATAATTCTAGTAAATATTATTTTAAATATTTATGAAACCTTTCATAACAAAACTTGACGGAACCTTGACGATAGTCGCTTCGTTAGTAACGCAAATTGTCATTTAGATTTAGCTTTAGATTAAATCAGTTACTCTGAACTTACGTGTTCCGTTAGAAACTTGCTAATTTATGTTATGTTGTAATGTCATACGTGACGAGCGTCCAAAGCTACTCGCTGCACTTTAATAATCGTGATGCTTTAATAGGAGAATGTAATACAAGATATATTCAACGGTAAATTTCAATTCATTCTGTTAAATCTATAGTTCTATTTTTTTTTCCTTTTGTAATTAGAAAATTATTTAAGATATGATAATTCTGAAAACTTTACCTTCAACTTTTATTTCAATATAACAATATGTCTCAGCGTGACATGTTGCTTATATCACTAATATAAAAAGAATTAAAAAAATACGGAATACAATCACAAAAGCAAAGTGTCACAAATCGAAAAAAAATTATTATTTATATGTAAATGCATTCATTATAAAAATACATTCATAAAATTTGTTAACTTAAAATTCAAAGTAATTCAAATGTGTCTTCTTAAAGACGCAGAAATATTTAAATATGATGATCACATTAACATACTCGAATTAACATAATAAAAACATCTTCAAAGAGATACCCATGTAAATTCTGAATAATCTCAGATCGCGTGGGAAAGGTCAAGTGGCGACTATCCAAGTTTCACACTTTCTCTACTAATATTAGAAGATAAATTGTTTCAATTAAAAAAAGGCAGCGTCTTTAAGAAAAACAAGCTATATACGATCGCGTCTCTTAAAATTCCAATTCACAAACTGACAAAAAAAGGAAATGACAAATTACATCGCGGTATCTCTTATGCCTCCTCATATCGACGTAATCATTGTTACTGGCAGAAACATATCACACTCGCAATTTCATTCCGCCTCTTTTATACGCGCCCTGTACCATATCCTTTTACGCAGAGATAGCGTGCGAGGAGAGAGAGAGAGAGAGAGCGACTATTACATACGCTTCATTTTTATCAATCCAAACGATTTACCACTGAAAGAACTGTAATGCGGAAAAATGCCCCGAGCGAAATTTTCAACGATTCCAACGGGCGAGCCATATTGAAATGCAACGAGAACGATCGTTCTATTTCTTTTCTTTCTTTTTTTTTTTTTTTTGTTAAAGATTTAAAGGATGTTATCGGCTTTTCCTGCGAGCGAGATCTTAATCAGAGTTGCGACAACAATCGATTTAACACCAATACATCGTGTGTCGATGATTCGATCATGGATTATCAAGTTTGGCGATAGTCGAATGTAGTCAAGTTTAGTCGAGTTGAGTTTATATTCCACGAAGTGTAGAGAAACTTGGTTTGCAAACCGGTTACTAATGCTAAATTTACTTCGCCAACTGTTACTACAAACTTATTACTAAAACATCGGTATAGTCCATCAATTTCATTTATTTAAATTTTAGGAAATCCGTAATTAAGCCAATGTCTACATAAATAATCAAACGTCGATGTAATTCGCTCACCCTTCCTTTTCTTTTAGAGATATTATACAATTATA